CTCAGCCCTAGCGCTCCGCACCCAGCCAGTCCTCCTGTCAGGCCGCCTCTTCGCCAGCCACCCGGCTTGCCGCCCTGCAGCGCCCGGCCCTTCCCCATGCTGGCCCCGTCGACCCCGGAGACCGCAGTCCCCATGTCCCAGACCGAGGCCGACCTGGCCCTGCGGCCCCCGCCGCCTCTCGCCGCTGTGGGGCCGCCCCGCCTGGGCCCCCCTCCTCGCCGGGCGCGCCGCTTCTCCGGGAAAGCTGAGCCCCGGCCGCGTTCTTCCCGCCTCAGCCGCCGCAGCTCGGTCGACTTGGGGCTACTGAGCTCTTGGTCTCAGCCAGCCTCATCCTTTCCGGAGCCCCCAAATCCTCCGGACTCCGATGGTCCCTGCCCCGTAAGGAGCCCACCACCGAGCTCCGAAGAGCCCCCCGAGGGCACGTGGACCGGGGGAGCCCCGGTGAAGCCAGCAGACTCTGCGCATTCCGAACTCGCGGGCGCCTCAGGAGTCCCGGGGTCTGCAGAGTCGCCGAGGATCCCCGAAGCCGCAGCCCGAGAGCGGCGGCGGGAGCTGGAGGAGGAGGACACGGAGACACAGGCTGTGGCGACGTCCCCAGACGGCCGATACCTCAAGTTTGACATTGAGATTGGACGTGGTTCTTTCAAGACGGTGTATCGAGGGCTGGACACGGACACCACGGTGGAAGTGGCCTGGTGTGAGCTGCAGGTGCGGCTGGGTGCCCCCTCCGTGCACCTCGGGATGGGATCCTTTGCGTGTCTTGGGATGGGAGACCCCGGGAACAGTAGCAAGGGAGGGATATATTTATCCAGTCAAATGTCCAGACATCCCTGCTCCCCTTGCTTTGATGATCCATGAACCTGACTGACTCTGGGCTGCCGAAGGAGAAACTGAGGCAGGTGTGTGCGGTGGCTCCCCCATGGGCATGGACGTTCCGACTTTAAAGTCTCCATGCGCAAGCCTGAGAGGTGGGAAAAAAGGACGGGAAATTGAGTGGGAGAGCCAGTTCAGATCTGGGAGCCTGACCCCACCAATTTCTTGCAGCCAGACCCACTATCTCTTCCTCCCCCTTTCCCCTAAGTCCTGAGACCCTCAGTGTGACCCTGGTCCTTCTGCTCACTCCCCCAGATCTTTGCAAATCAGGAGACTGGGGGGAGGTTGGCCAGGAGTTGGGGCAGGGTCCTGTCCACCTCTTGAAGATTTAGGGGAATTGTGGCAAGATGAGTCCCTCTCAGACCTCTTCTAGGGCAGTCAGACTTGGGGTGGGGAGGGACAAGGAGCCCCAGCCCTGGCCTGAGTCCAGTCCTGCCCCTCATCCCACTGCCTACCTGGGCTCTCCTTTCCCAGACCCAAAGGTGCTGAGTCTCATGGGCTTTCGGGGAAATGTTGATCTGCAGAACCTTCCTCCCAGGGCTATCACTCAGCCTATGGGTGGGAAGAATCCAGTCAATTCTGGGCCCTGCTTAGGATTGGGGGATGGAGTCAGGGGAAGGGTCCCTCCCCTCCTGCCCTGGCAGGGTGCTCTCCCCTTGTGCCTGCCAGTGCCACGCCCCAGGCTCCAGGCCCAGCCAGGAGAAGCAGCCAAACTGTGTGTTGCGGGGGGAGGGGATGAGATGGGGCGGGACAGCCATTGGGTGTGGGGAGCAGTCTCCTGGCACCTGGTCCTTGATCCTTTCTCTCTTGCTCTATGCCTCCCACCGCAGCCCTCCCACCTCCTGTCTGGATCTAGCAGTTCCCAAGTTCTGGGGCCAACCCCCTTCCAGGCCCCAACTCCCTGCCTGCCTCCTGCCCACCGGCTGCCGGCTTGCTGCCCGCCCGTTGCCAGCCCCCGGGCGCCCCCTCCCGCCCCACGGCCGCTCGGGCGGCCACAAAGGAGCTATTGAGCTCCGGACTCCGGGACTGGGCTGCATAAAGGTGCTTCTGTCCAGCGGGGGTCCAGAGTGGGCGTGTCCTTGTAGCCGCCAGAGAGGGCTGAACCAGAGTTCGGTGTCTGTACCCGCTGGGCTAGCGATCCCACCGATCCGGAAGCATCTGCTTCAATCCTCACCTCTCTCCCAGCCCTGCCCCATGTGCCCTCATCTTCTCTCCCTGGGGGTTCTGGGCCTGAGGTGACCCCCTCCCACATCCCACAGACTCGGAAACTGTCTCGGGCCGAGCGTCAGCGTTTCTCGGAGGAGGTGGAGATGCTCAAGGGGCTACAGCACCCCAACATCGTTCGCTTCTATGACTCGTGGAAGTCGGTGCTGAGGGGCCAGGTTTGCATCGTGCTGGTCACCGAACTTATGACCTCTGGCACGCTCAAGACGTGAGCTCTGCGCCTGGCAGGGGGAGGGCTGGAAAGTGTCCCCACTGCTTCCTAATTTTTGGCAGATTCCTCAAATTCTGCACATCCAGGTCCAAACTGGGCTCACCATCCTCCACCTACCCCTCCTGTGCCCATGCCTCAGTGAAGGGTAACTTCCTTTCTGCACTCCACCGAAAACTTGGGCTTCTCCCCAGACTACTCCTTTCCCTCCACACTGTGCATCCCCCTACCCCCACTGTCTGTCTCCTTAACAGCTCCTACCTAGCTAGCCTGGAGCCCTGCAGCAGCCCCCTAAAGGACCTGTCCCTGCTCTGCCTCCTCCAAGCCATCCTATCTTCTGGAAGCCTGGGACATCTTTCTCAATCCCAAATCTGACCTCCTCACTACGCTCTTTAAAACCTGTTGAAGGCCCTTCCCACGGCTCTGGGGATAAAGTCCACGCTCACTAACCTGCTCATTTTCAGCCTAAGTTCCAGACAAACCGAATTCCCAGCACATCCTCCCACCCTACCCAGTCACTGGCTGTCCCCGTGCATTTGAATATAGTGTCTCGTCTGCCTGGAAAGTCTCCATCCCTTCCCCCTTTCACCCTTGAACTCCTACTCATCCTTCAAGACGCAACACAAAAGTTATTTCCTCTGTGAAGGGCTCCCCCGCGCTCGGGACACTTAGTCATCCCTCCCGGGCTGCGCAGCACCTTGGCAGCGGCCCTTTCTGCGAACTTACCTCCCTGCCGATTTGGTGGCCTAGTGTCTACCTATCCCACACTCCTGACTCAGTTTCTTCCTGCGGCCTGGCGCGAACCTAGGCTAGGAGAAAACTCGAGGAAGACGCTGCGGCGCGGGTGGGGCAAGGGCGAGGTGCCAGTGAGGGCCCCTCCCCCGGGTACATGTCCCTGCCAAGACCCTGCCTATGCGCCCTCCCCCAGGTACCTGAGGCGGTTCCGCGAGATGAAGCCACGAGTCCTTCAGCGCTGGAGCCGTCAGATCCTGCGGGGGCTTCATTTCCTACACTCCCGGGTTCCCCCCATCTTGCACCGGGATCTCAAGTGCGACAATGTCTTTATCACTGGCCCCTCGGGCTCGGTCAAGATTGGGGACCTGGGCCTGGCTACGCTCAAGCGTGCCTCCTTTGCCAAGAGCGTCATCGGTGCGTCCTCTAGGAGGGTTCTCGCCATTCCTACCTCCCCCACGCCAGAGGAGAGCCTGGGGACCCCACCGTCGCAGAGTCCTTCGAGATCCAAGGAGCTAGGAGACCACGAGGAAGCGGGAGAGAGCTGTAGCACTCCCACCCCACCCCCGCCCATACACACATTGTAGGGGAGGGTGGGTCGCTTGTGTCCCGGGCTACTTAGTCCCAAGATGTGCCTAAGAGGAGGGACAGACCAGAAGGGAGGTTCTGCAGCCTGATCCCTGCTGTGCACCCTGCAGGCACCCCGGAGTTCATGGCCCCCGAGATGTATGAGGAAAAGTACGATGAGGCCGTGGACGTGTACGCATTCGGCATGTGTATGCTGGAGATGGCTACCTCGGAGTACCCGTACTCCGAGTGCCAGAACGCCGCGCAAATCTACCGCAAGGTCACTTCGGTGAGAGGAGATGGGGGAGGAGAGGGAATTTCAGATCCCCCTTCCACTGTCCTGCCCCACCAGCCCTTCCCCTTAATGAAATGCCTTTCCCCTTAATGAAAACAGGCTAGACCCAAAGATGCCCTGCTTAACACTGAAGGGTATTAGATGCACACACGCCCCCTTCCAGCACAAGCTATTTAGAATCATATGTGTAGCGCTTCCTAGAGTTTACAAACGGTTTTTCACAGCCAGTTTCTCATCAGATCTTTCTAGCTGCCCCGCGAAGTGAGCAGGGCAAGTGTGCCTTGTGTTTGGTAAATGAGAAAACAGGCTCAGCGGAAGCCTCATTCAAGGACACACTGCCAATACGTGGGGGGATTGGGATTTGATATCCAATCTCCCAGTAGCAGTCGCCGAGCTTTTGCCACTGCAGGCGCTGCTGCCTCAGGGGGGTGGAGGTTGTCTATCAGTGAAGTGGGGCGCATAGGGCCACAGGCTTCATGCAGCCCACTCCCTCAGGGCACAAAGCCGAACAGCTTCTACAAGGTGAAGATGCCGGAGGTGAAGGAGATCATTGAAGGTTGCATCCGCACGGATAAGAACCAGAGGTGGGGTGGAAGGGCGGGGCGGGGCGGGGCCCTGGCGCAGGCCGCCGCAGGAGGTCGGCTCAAGCGGCTCGGCCCTCAGGTTCACCATCCAGGACCTTCTGGCCCACGCTTTCTTCCGCGAGGAGCGTGGCGTGCACGTGGAGCTGGCGGAGGAGGACGATGGCGAGAAGCAGGGCCTCAAGCTCTGGCTGCGCATGGAGGATGCGCGGCGCGGGGGTCGGCCGCGGGACAACCAGGCCATTGAGTTCCTGTTCCAGCTGGGCCGGGACGCGGCCGAGGAGGTGGCACAGGAGATGGTGAGAGGAGGGCGGACCGTGCTGGGGCTGGGTGTGTGAGGGGCGGGGCACGTGGGCCCCTACGGGAGGGGCCAGTGAGACACCGTGGTGGGAAAGGGGCGCAACCCACCTCCCTCGGCATCTGCTGCAGGTGTCTCCCTGCCCCTCCCGCCTTAACACACCCCGCACACGTACCCAGTGTTCCCAACACGTTGAAGATTTCCTTTTCCAGAACAAGGTCTGGGCCCTCCAACCTCCCTGCTTTTGCTCTTTCTGATCCGTTTTTCTGGAATACCCTTCCCTCCTATACATTTTTTTTTTCTTCTCTCTTTCACCTTTTTCTCTCTTGTTTTTCTCTTTCCTTTTCCATGCTCAGAATTACCAATTTCAGGAAGCCTTCCCCTCTAGAGGAGCCCTGGTGGTCCAGTGGTTAAGTGCTCGGCTGCTAACTAACCAAAAGGTCGGCAGCTGGAATCCACCAGCTGCTCCTTGGAATCCATATGGGGCTGTTCTGCTCTGCCCTATAAGGTTGCTATGAGTCGGAATCCACTCCACAGAAACGGATTTGGGTTTCTCTACAGTCAACATTAGATGCTTCTTCCCACTGCAGCAGGTCTTCCATTACAGCATCCGCCATCATCTGTCCCTACCACCATGTCTTGTCTCCTCTACTAGACCTTAAATTCCTTGAGGGCAGAGACTGTTTTTTGTTTTCTAATTTATCTCTGGCAGTGCTTGGCACATGGTAGGAGCTCATTAATGGCCCTCATCAGTACATGGCTTAAAGCACTTTCGCAAACATTTGATTATTGTTACCAGTCGGCATGGAGGGTAATTTTATCCCAATTTATTGATGAAGAAACGAAACTCAGAGAGGTTGACTGTCTTGTCCAGGGTCCCACAGCAAGTAAGTGGCAGGGCTGGATTTAAACTCAAGTCATTCTGATTTCAAGTCAGATCACCCTGCCCCACCTCCTTTACACAACTAGTAAATCTTGTTATTGAAATCAATAAGGAGGGGATGAATGGAAGATGGTAGACCAGGAGAGGCATTCATGGGAGGTAGAAGATGGGGGGCAGAGGCTTGGGGGCTGGTTTAGGAAGGCTTGAGGAAGTAGGAGAAGGAGTATAGGATTCTTCATAGAAAAATGGCAGTTGAAACGGTGGGGATCATCTATGGTGGATCAACCTGAGTACGTGTTTGAAATTTGGCATAAGAACAGGTCTCCATAGCCCAGATCAAACCAGACCTGAGATCAATTCTGCAGGGATTCTCAACCTTGGCACTATTGACATTTTGGGTGGGGTAATTTTTGGTAAATTCCGGGGGACTGTCCTGTGCATTGTTGGATGTCGAGCAGCACCCCTAGCCTCTAATCACTAGATGTCATTAGCACCCTCCACCTCGTTATGACAACTAAAAATGTCTCCAGGTATTTCTGAAGTCTCTTAGGGGGCAAAATATCCCTCCCTTCCCCTCACCCTATTGAGAACCACTGACTTACTGTATAACCATGAACAGGTCACTTGCTTTATTAACTTATCTCAGAAATGGTGCTGATAAGACTTGTCTCAGAAGGTTATTGGGAGAGTTTAACAATAATGATAATGTAAAGAATTGCCAGTTAATGGACACAGTGGACTATCAATAAATATTGGTTCCCTTCTACCCTGGAGACCCCAAGGAGGTATCCTGATGGATCTTTGAGGGGGTTCCCGACTTGTGCTCCTCAAACCCCTCCCCCCAACTCCAGGTGGCTCTGGGCTTAGTCTGTGAAGCTGATTACCAACCAGTGGCCCGTGCAGTGCGTGAGCGGGTTGCTGCCATACAGCGGAAGCGTGAGAAGCTTCGCAAAGCTCGAGAGTTGGAGGCCCTCCCACCCCCACCAGGACCCCCACCAGCAACTGTCCCCATGGTTCCTGGCCCCCCCAGTGCCTTTCCCCCTGAACCTGAGGAGCCTGAGGCAGACCAGCACCAGCCCTTCCTCCTCCGCCATGCCAGCTACTCATCTACCACCTGTAAGTCATCCGTGACCTTGGTACCTGGGTCCTAGAACCCTTGACCTCTACCCTCCACCCAGAAGTTCACCCCAGCAGCAGTGACACTTACCCTGCCTTCCACCCCTAACCATGAAGTTCCCTCTGGGAAAGAACCTTTCCACAGCTCTAGGCCCCTCCTGGCTCAGGCAAGCCCCCTCCTGCGCCACCACTTCCCTTTATTTCCCATTTTTGATCCCTTCCTTCCCCAACCAGCGGATTGCGAGACTGATGGCTACCTCAGCTCCTCTGGCTTCCTGGATGCCTCAGACCCTGCCCTTCAGCCCCCTAGGGGGGTGCCATCCAGCCCCGCTGAGTCCCATCTCTGCCTGCCCTCGGTGAGAGGGGGTCACATGGGGGGTTCCCAGCCGTTCCAAGTCTATGACCTTTCTCCCTCCTTATAAAACCCAACCTCATGATCTGGCCCCATATCCCTGAAAATCCACCACTCTTGTCCTCATCTTCCCCAATTCCATCTCCCTAGTACCCAGCATCCTTGACACCATCTCCCTAGATCCCAACAGTTATCTTCCCCTGACTTCATGAACCCTTATCCTGTTTCAGGCTTTTGCTCTATCCATTCCACGTTCTAGCCCTGGCAGTGATTTTGCCCCTGGGGACAGGTAAGTTCTGGTGTGAGTTGGGGAACTAGAGACGGTGCTCTCAGGACCCAGTGTTCTCTTGGACACTACCCCTCTCTCATTTCTCTTTTCCAGCTATGCCTCCGATGCAGCATCAGGCCTTAGTGACATGGGAGAAGAGATGGGACGAATGAGGAGACCTATAGGGAGAAATCTCCGGCGCAGGCCCCGATCCCGGCTGCGGGTCACTAATGTAAGGAAAGAGTACAGGAGATGAGGAAGAGCCTAGAAGGTCCAGGAGGGAATTGCCAGGGGGGAGGGGAGGTCAGCTGGAAAAGGGAAAGAGCAGTGTGTGCTATGGGTACCCAAGAGCCAGCCATCTAGTTTCTAATACCAGAATTTGGGGATGGAGTCCGCTTCTCTCCAATCCCAATCTGAACACTGTCATTTGGCTGGAGTGGGGTGGGGACATGAGGCAAGGGCGAGGACTTGACCTCCTCCCCTCTGCTGACTTTGAATCTGAAGGTCTCAGACCAGAATGACAGAGTGGTTGAGTGCCAGTTACAGACACACAACAGCAAGATGGTGACCTTCCGATTTGATCTGGATGGGGACAGCCCAGAGGAGATCGCAGCTGCCATGGTGAGGGGGACAGAGTGTTTGTGTCTCGAACAAGAGTCCCATGTTGATGTCCCCTGGTGTTGAAACCCCCCAAGCCAGACAGTAGGGTTTTTGAAGCACTGGCTGGCTGTCAGAACAGTGATACTGAAGAAGCCCCTGCCCTTCTTCTTGGGGAGATTTCTGTTTATCTGGGAAGGTTTGGCTCCCCAGCTGGCAATCTGAGACTAACACAGACAGGGTATACACAAGTGCTACATGTGAAGTGCATGCTAAACATGCAGTACTGTGTCTCTAAGAAAAGGATGGGCTGGGGGCAGCAGGACAAAGAAGTGGGACAGATGGATAAGAAAGGCAGTGGAGACAGCATATCTTCCTGGAGGCACAGCATAAACAAAGGCATGCGAAGTAGGGAATGACTTAGAATATAGGGCTCAGGGGTTTCATGAGGAGACCAATGTCATTGGAAGCAAGTATTCCTATAGGAGGATCATGGGAAACAAGGCTGGGCAGGTAGAGTGGGCCCAGAATATAGAAGGTCTTGAGAGTCAGGCAGAGTGTAACATGGTAAGAATATATTTTAAGAAGACCATTCTGCCATGTGATGTGGGAGGAGTTGGGGGTAGGGAATCCAGCTGGGAGGTAGACTCCAAAAACCAGATGTGGTCCAAAGAGATAATAGACTATGGTAGGAGGAAGAGAAGGAGTGAATATGAGGAAAATACTTTGTAATCCAACGATCTATTGACACAGTACAGTGCACATAGTAGATGCTCAATAAATATTTGCTGAGTTGATATGATGGGGAGTGAGGGAGAGGGGATGTCAAGGGCAACTTACAGCTTGGGGAACTGGACTAATGGGAGTAGGCCACCAAAGGATAGAGAAAGTTGGAAATGAAAGTAGGTTTGTTTAGGGGTCATAATGAGCTTGAGTAATGAGAGACAGCCAAGATAAAATCCTCCCTGGGAGTGGGAGACGGGTCAGGCATGGCTGAGAGGTAGATTAAGAGTTGTCAGCACACAGATTGGGCCTGCAAAGCCAGAAGATAGAGGGCCTGAGAGCGCATCTAGTGGATACCCTCTGTGTCAGAGTGGGAAGGGGAGGGGTGGGAGTAGATCATTGAAGGACACAGATGGAGCCAGAGATGTAGGAGGAGCCCTGAAAGATGTTAGTAAAAACTGAGTGAGGAGAAAGTTTCAAGGAGGGGACACAGGGTAAAGCCTGGGGCAAGACCACACTGGCTTTTGTTAGAAGGTTTTTGTGTGAGAGTAGTTTCAGTGGAGTGGGGGTGGTGGATGGCAGCCTCTAGAGTAAAGGAGGGAAGGGAATGGGAAAGATGTCAGTCTTCAGAACTCTCTGAGCATCTCCCGCATCATGCCGTTCACCTTGTATGCAAGGCAAAGACAAAATATCACCTGGCACATAAGGCTTATGACCTTCCACCAGTCCACGTGATCCTTCCAGAGTTTCCCTCCAGCTGTACTGGTTTCTGACTGGTCCTCCAAAGAGGCTGTGTGCCTTTACGTCTCTGCCTCCATCTGCTCAGGGGTCTCTCACTCTAAGAGCCTTCTCTACTGAGCTTTCAAGACCCCTCAGATCTCACACAGCCCAAATGACCCCACCCCTGAACCCAGGGTCCATTGCTCTCTTCTCTCCCCTCACCCATCCACCCTCTAGTCCTCTGCAGCAGAGTTCTTCTGAGACTTAGATCTTATCTTGCAGCTTTTTGCCCCAAAGTCTTTAGTGGCTACCGTGATTATGAGAAAGGTCCACATTCCTGAGTGTGGCCTTTGAAATTCACAGCACTCTCAGCTATACTTGAGTCCTCACTATTTCCCGAATGTGCCATGCCCTTTCACATCTCAAAGCTATTTCTCATGCTCTTCTCTCTGCCTAGACTGCCCTTCTCTTCCTGATGAACAGTGTGAAACAGAGGAAAAGGTGGGCTTTTACATAAGATCTGAGTTCAAATTCCAGCTCTGTTACTTACTAACTCAGTGAACTTGGGCAAGTTTCTTAATCCCTCTGAATCACAGTTGCTCGCCAGTAAAATGCAGGTGATAATATTTATTTTGCAAGATGATCTGAGGACCAAAACAGATAATTTATGAAAAGAGTTCACACATGGTATGTCCTCAATAAAGGGTTGCTTTTCTTAGTCATCCTTCAAAACCCAGCTCCAAGGACTTCCTTTGGAAAGCTGTCTCAGCTTCCCCCATTTCCCCAAGGTGCTATGACTTGCTTCCTCTTTGGAATAGCATTTTAATCTATACTTCATAAATGCCTTACCTATCATGGACTGACTTGCAGTATGTTAGTATCTACTTGTCTCTTCCACTAGATTTGGGGCTTCCTGACGGCTAGGACCTTGTTTCATGCTTTTCTGTATTCTCCACGGTATGTAGCACAATGCCTGGCACATAGCAGGTGCTCAATAAGTGTTTGTGGAATTGAATGCGACATTTGGTATTTACTGTCTTGTTTTTACTTAACTTTGTGGACTGTGTGTGCATGTGGGCCTGGGTTGTATACTTTGTAAGCAGGAATTGTGTCCAAAAGCATGTGTGGCAACAGCAGTGTAATGGAAAGAACTCAGGTTGGCTTTAGACAGACTTAGAGACCTGAGTTCAAATCCTGTGATCTTGGGCAGGTTGAATTTAACCACCTGGAGTAATTATTATCTTAGTCTAAAATGGGGATTTTAATACCAGCCCCAGAAGGTTGTCGTTGTGCTACATGTGATAATATATGTAAAGTGTCTGGTACATACATGCTTCCTATGAACATTAGCTCCTTTCCTCTAAGCTGTATTTCTCTTTACATCACACAGTGCCTGGCACACAGTAGGTACTTACTTTGTTTTAGGCTGGTGGTTGACAGAAGCAGTGGTGTGAAGGGTTGGTTTTTAAAGGTCGGGGGAGAGCTGAGCAGGGTAACTGAGCCCTCCCTCCCATCTTACTTACCTTTGCCAGGTGTATAACGAGTTCATTCTACCCTCGGAGCGAGATGGATTCCTGAACCGCATTCAGGAGATTATCCAGCGAGTAGAGACCCTGTTGAGGAGAGATACTGGCCCTGTGGAGGCTGTTGAGGACACCCTGGGCTCCCAGGTCAGACCCTCTGGGCACCTCCAGGGGTAATGGACTCTCTGCTCCAGAGTTACCTACTCTCTGGCCTCCACAGCACCCTTGGATCTAGCTCCTCTTCATCTCTGGGATTCTAAAACTGCAGTTTTTAAGCTTTTTTGGGTCATGGATCCCATATGAGAATCTGATGATAGCTACGGACTTTTGTTCTAGAAAAATGTGTTCAATACATGCTTTTCTTTTAACTCTTTATTTGGAAATAATCTCAGATTTACAGATAAGTTGCAAAAATTGTACAAAGAATTCCTAGATACGTTTTGCCCAGATTCACCAATTGTTAATATTTTGCCACAGTAGCCTTAACATTCCTTCTCTCTTCTGTGTATGTATACATATTATTTTTTTCTGAACCATTTGAGAGTAAGCTGCAGACACCATGCCCCTTAACCTCTAAATATTTCAGCACATACATGTATGAATGCCCTGAAACTCCTCCATGGGCTCCGAGGGATTCATGGGTTCTAGCTTAAGAACCACAGCCACAAACCTCCCATCCAAGACTTGCTCTTCCCCACTGTGACTGTAGGCCCTTTCTCTCCCTCAGGAGGAGCCAGCACCACCGCATGCCCTCCCGGGCCCCCTCCCAGACCCTTCTAGTGGTATGTACTGAGTTCTGCTCCTGCTCACTCCACTCCTTGGGGTTTTCTCCTGGGTTTGCCTGGGAAGGGCGTAAGGAATGGGGATCTGGAATTTCAACGTGCCTTCCTCTCCAGCAGACCCCCAGAGCAGTACGTCCCTGGAGCAGAGGAGCTGGGCAGTCTTCTCCACCTCCCCTTCTTCTCCTGGAACCCCCTTGTCTCCTGGAAACTCATTTTCCCCTGGAACTCCCCTTTTCCCAGGTCCCATCTTCCCTATCACTTCTCCCCCATGTCCTCCCAGCCCCTCCTCACTCCCCCTTATTTCCTCCCACGCTTCCTCACATCCCCCTCCACACGCCCCCAGCTCTCCACTTCCACTCTCCCCCAGTGCATCCCAGTTTCCAATCCCATCCTCTCAGTTTCCCCAGAGCTCTCTTCTCCCCAGTTCTCCACCCACATTCTCTCCCATTTGTTCCCAGGTCACTCATAACCCCTCTTCCTTTCCGCCAAGACCCTCCTCTCCCCCTCTTCCATCCACCACAGCAGCCCCTCTCCTCTCTCTGGCTAGTGCCTTCTCACTGGCTGTGATGACTGTGGCCCAGTCCCTGCTGTCCCCCTCACCTGGTCTCCTTTCCCAGTCTCCTTCAGCCCCTCCTGGCACCCTCCCCAGCCTGCCCTCTCCCCCTTCCCTTGCTCCTTGTGGCCAGGAGAGCCCTTCGCCCCTCACAGCTGAGATGGAGAGTGAGGTGAGTTAAGAACTAAGAGGGATGATTAGGGAGGCTCCATTCTGGACATTTCCCTCCTCATTGACCCATACTTTATAGGCCCCCCCAAATCCTGCTCAGCCATTCCTGGGTGAAGCCAGACTGGCACCCATCTCTGAAGGTGAGGCTCCTGACCACTGACCTTCTGCTGGCCATCATCCCCACCCCAGTTTATATCCTGCCACTGATTCTCTCCCTCCATGCCTCATCCTGTCTCTGTCTCTCTACAGAGGGAAAGCCTCAGCTTGTTGGACGTTTCCAAGTGACTTCATCCAAGGAGCCAGCTGAGCCTCTTCCCCTGCCACCGTCATCCCCAGCTCTCTCTGGTTCTCTGAAGCCTCCAACCCCTCAGCTGGCCTCGGAGAGCTCAGACACAGAGGACAGTGCTGGAGGCAGGCCAGAGACCAGGGAGGCTCTGGCCGAGAGCGACCGTGCCACTGAGGGCCTAGGGGTTGGAGCTGAGGAGGAAGGGGGTGATGGGAAGGAGCCCCGAGGAGGGGGCAGCCCCCCGCCCCTGAGCCATCCCAGCCCCGTATGGATGAACTACTCCTACAGCAGCCTGTGTCTGAGCAGTGAGGACTCTGAGAGCAGTGGGGAGGATGAGGAGTTCTGGGCTGAGCTACAGAGTCTTCGGCAAAAGTGAGTCTGGGGAGGCTGGAGCAAGAGGCAGACTACAGAGCAAGATGTATGCTGCCCTTCTCATGCTCCTGACCATCCTCAGGCACTTGTCAGAGGTGGAGGCTCTACAGATGCTGCAGAAAAAGGAAATTGAGGACTTGTACAGTCGGCTTGGGAAGCAGCCCCCGCCGGGCATCGTGGCCCCAGCCGCCATGCTGTCCAGCCGCCAGCGGCGCCTCTCCAAGGGCAGCTTCCCTACCTCCCGTCGCAACAGCCTGCAGCGCTCCGAACCCCCAGGCCCTGGTGAGACTGCAGTGGCTCAGCTCTCATCTTTCCCCTGAGAGCCCCTCCCTACCAAGCTGGCTTTCTTCCAGGCCCTGGGGGTCTGCCCCTTGGTTTGGGGGAACTAGCCCTCCTCTCTCCGCGGCCCCTTTCTTCATGTAGCGCTCTCCCTCCCCCGTCCTGCTCCCAGGCATCATGCGAAGGAACTCCTTGAGTGGCAGCAGCACCGGCTCCCAGGAGCAGCGGGCAAGCAAGGGGGTGACATTCGCCGGGGATGTCGGCAGGATGGTGAGGGTGGGCTCAAAGGAGGGAGAGCCCAGGGAATGGTAACTGGCTGCAGCTTCACCCTCATCCCACCCTGGAGGTTTCTTCAGCGCTTTTTCTTTTCCCTCCAGTGAATTCAGAATGGAAGCCAAGTGTGTCCCCGACACCAGGGCTCACCATGGAGCTCGTGCTCACAGAACCTGCTGCTTTTCTGACTGACACAACTCAGCAAGGAAGACCCCAGCAGTGAGGGGGTGGAAGGCCAGGGGGCACGAAGAGTGCAGGCCCATTCTAGGGAAGAGTCAGACACGAGGGAACTGTTAGCTCTGTGTAGAGGGCATCAATTCTGCCATCTACCACCTTTATCCCCGCTACCTCCCCAGGCAGTGGTCAACCACTAAGCAGTCTCACCCAAGCCCATATGCTTCTGGAGGGCCTACTGCCATCTGGGTGTTCTCACAGACTCAGCAGCCGCCAATAAAAATGCTGGAAACCAGGAATCTGAATTGTGTATGTCATGCCTTATAGGAGCTGGGGGCAAAGCCTTGTGGGGTGAGGCAGGGGGCAGTTTAGAAGGGACTCTCCTCTTACAATGGAAGGCAAGGGTGGAAGCTGCCCAGCCTTCTGGCTGCCTGCCAGCAGTTCATGAGGAAACTATAAGGTCAGTGATCCACTTGACCAAGCCAAGATCCCCTCTAGACTCTGCCCTTGGCCTGCATAGGCAGGCCCCAGTAGAAGTTAAAAGAGTGAAGGCTGCTTGTCCTTCATCCACCAGTCTCTCTAGGTGTGGAAAGGCAGTAGAGAGAAAAAATGAAGTAAAAGGTGTGTTGTTCTCTGCAGTAGAGGACACAGAGTGACCTTCCTCCTCCCCAGATGTGGTTCATTCTGAAACAGCCCAGTGACTTGCCATGATCTCTCCCTTAAATCAGGTGGAAAGATCTCATGGAAAAAGTAATTCTAGTTAAACATTTACGGCTCCCTGGGGCAATGCCACTTCTGCAGCTACTGCCTGTGGAGCTTTCCGGCATGAAGTGCCATGCAGTCTCTCAGCCCCACAACATTCACTTGGCTCCAGGACAGATGACTCAGTTTATTATTCTCAACTTGACCCCATCATTCCCACTTCAGGCTCCAACACTGCTAGGAGCTGCCACCTCCCACTCCCATAACAGTCATGGCACTGAGGTGTGAAGGGGGTAAACAAGACAGAGCTCTTAAAAGTCAGGATTGCTCACTCGTCAAACAAGGAAACAAACTACAAGAAGGGCTTGGTCACTGCACACACTGTGTGTGAGGTGGGCAATGTTCCTTTCAGGATGGCCGAATGCGTAAATTCCCACTTTTGGGGCTCAATCATGGTACAAGGTTAGTAAGGCCAGCAGTGCTGTGAGTAGGCTTCATTTTCTACAGGATCATGGAGCATCATCTGTCTTGTGAAGGGGCTCCAGCAGGTTGGAGAACCGCAGTGCCCATATGGATCAGGGGGCGGATGCTCTTTCCAGGGCTCTGGCTCGGGCAGCTTTGGCCTCGTCCTCTAGTTCATCCAGGAAACGCTCCTGGGACACCGAGTAGAAGGTGTAACCATCTGGGAGGTGGGCTCAGGAAACCACTTAGAATATGCACATTCCCTTTTCCTAGACTTGCTCCACCCACCCTTGTTACTCTCCCATTCTCCCGAATCAGTGATTCTGGCCTCCGCTGTTTCTGAACCCTAAACCCTAAACCCAACTCCATTATTACTAATAAATCATATTAAAAGAGCATCTTAGAAATGGCAAAGTGATAATTAAACACCATCTCATTTGATTCACACACACGGTATTAACCCCATCTCACCCAAACATTAAACGCTTGGCCCAGCGTTGTTCAGTTAGAAGTGGACAAGAACTTCACAGCTAGGGCTCTTTCTATCACCTCCAAGCTACCCTCCAACATGCTTCTGCTCCCCTTTCCCTGCCCCCACATGCGGTCTCCCAGAGTCTACACTATGATCGGATACAAATAGCAAGCACCAGGGCCCCGATACCCAGGCCTGTCACGATGTTCCGGGTCCGCCGCTGTGGCAGCGTCTTCTGCCACTGGGCGAGTTGCACCTGCTGCATGAATTGCAGCTGTGCTGGAGTCAGTTTTTCTCGAGTCGGGTCGATGCGCTGAGCCAACGGGCCCTTACCACTCTTAGCATCGTAAGAGTCACCAGGTCCGGACGCTGCCATGTTGCCGCAGTGTCTTTCCACTGTCCCAGGTCGCGGGGCTCGCTGGGAATAGTAGTCCTTGGGCGCCGCAGGGGACTCTGGGGCTTGTAGTCTGCGTTTCCTTTCTCCGCCTTGGCCATAGCGGGAGGGGTGGTGAGAGGCGGCTTTGTGATTGGCTGAGAGGTCCGCGGCCGTTGGGGCGGGAAAAGGCTCCGAAGGGCTCGAGGCTGTGGTGGGAAGTTGAGCTTTCCTCAGACTTGAGGCGAGGACGACCACACTGGAAGGGGACGAAGAATCCAGGGTGTGGCAGAAGACTCTGGAGAGAAGCTAAGGGGGCCGACTTACGGACCCAGTGAACAGTCCAGGTGCCCAAAAAGCCATTTGAAAATGGATGGACCTGTGAGGCCAAGATTGGTTTCCGTCAGTGACTTTCAGTTTGGAGCTGTTGCCACAGAGACCATCGAAGACGCCCTGCTCCATTTGGCCCAGCAGAATGAGCAAGCAGTGCAGGAGGCTGTGGGCCGAATGGGCAGCTTCAGGGAGACTCGGATCGTGGGTGTGGATGCAGGACGGGGGAGCCGGGTTCACGGGGGATTGGGGCATCTGCCTTGAGGCACCAACCTTGAGATTTAGTCTACTTTATTAATTCAAATAATTTTTGTTAGTACTTGCTGTATACCAGGTGCTGGGATATAATGAACAAGACACAGCAGCACCCTACCCTTGATTGCTTCCACATGTATAGAGTACTAATTATTGGCACTGCCTCAGTGGTTAAGCGTTTGGATGCTAACCAAAAGGTTGGCAGTTTGAATCCACCGGTCGCTCCTTGCAAACCCTATGGGGCAGTTCTACTCTGTCCTATAGGATCGTTATGAGTCAGAATCGACTCTGAAGGCAACGGGTTTTGTTCCCCCCACCCCCATAGAAACATGTAATGCAGTCCTTGCTTTCAAAGTATGTGCAATCTTTGGGGGGATACTAGGTCAAATAAGCAAACAACTAGGTACAAGTATGGTGAGATAAGTGGCGTAAGAGATAAAACGAGCTTTTATGGGGATTAAAAGAAGTGATGGGATAAGGTGGGGTTACCAAGTGCGGTGGAGTCTGCTCCGACTCATGGCGACCCTGACTCATGGCGACCCCGACTCATGGTAACCCCATATGTGTCAGAGTAGAATTGGCTCCATAGGGTTTTCGATAGCTGATTTTTTGGAACTAGATTGCCAGGCCTTTCTTCTAAGGCACCTCTGGGTGGACTTGAACTTCCAACCTTTTAGTTAGCAGCCAAGCGTATTAACCAATTAATGGAGTCCTCTAGGAATTGTGTTTTTAAGGTAGACGTTAAAAGGAAGGAATGATATTTTGATTGGTGAAGGTGGAGGAAAGGGACAATATTTCAACCAAAACGAACTAGCATGAGTAAAGCTATGGAGATAGAGAAGCTTAGGGTATGGGTACAGTGACGTCCAGGTTGGCCAGAGTGTGTGGAAGAGTAGTTGAAATTAAGACCAGAAAAATAGTTTGAGGACATTCCCTATGGGACTCTGAATGCCAAGGTAAGGGATTTATACTTGGTTTAGTAAGGAAACAAGAAGGCACTGAAGGTTTTTGAATAAGACAGTGATATGAATGTAACCTTTGCTTAAGAAAAATTATTTTGGCCGTGATGTAGAGGATGAATTAAACTAGAGAGAGAAAGGAAGTAGGTAGACCAGTGGAGTCTGTGTCAGTAATCTAGGCGACAGGGCAGAAGGAATGACAATGGAAGATGTGTTAAAAAACATTTCAAAGATAAAATCTACAGTTCTACAATGGATGAATTTAAGAAGTGAAGAAGACAAATATGACTATACCAAAGGGTTGAGCCGAGATTGGGAGTATAGTGGTATCATTAACAAAAACATAACACACACACATTTAAAAAATAAAACATAAGGCAACTTGATTTTTTTTTTACTCTTAACTTTTTTAAGGTATAAATGGTATACAGTAAATTTCATTTATTTAAAGTATATAATTTGATAAGTCTTGACATATGTATACACACACAAAACCATCACCACAATCAAGATAGTGAACATATATATCATCCCCAGAGTTTCCTCTTGCCCCTTTGCAATTCCACCCCTTCTTACCCTTCTCCTAAGCAACCAACGATCTGCTTTCTGTCTCTATAAATTAGTTTGCATTTTCTAGGATTTTGTATAAGTAGAATCATACTCTATGTACCGTTTTGTTGCCTTCCTTCTTTCACTTAGCATAATTACTTTGAAATCCACGTTATTGCATGTATCAAGTTTATTAATTTTCATTGCTGAGTAGTATTCCATTATATGGATATACCACAATGTTGATACATTCACTAATTGATGGACATTTGGGTACGAAACTTGATTTTTGTTTAGACAGATAGCAGTTTTGGTTTTGAGCTACTAAGTTTAAGGTGCTGGCAGAGCATCTAGAGGAAATTCTCTAGCAGGCTGTTTAAAGAGTAGGTCAGAAGAGAGGTCAGAAGTAGAGGTTTGGGAGTCATCACTATGATTGCTGAAACTGTGGCAGAGGATGAGTTCCTAGAGGACACAGAGAGAAGCAGGTCAAGAACAGTTCCTCGGGGAACATTTTATTTTCAAGGAATTGGAGTAGGAAGGAGTGGTGAAGGAAATAAAAGGAGTGATTTGGAGGGATACGAACAGGAGCAAGAAACCTTTGGAAGAAGAGAGTTTCAAGGATGATGGTCAGCAGTTTCAAATGCTTATTAACAGGAATGAGGATTGATTGCAAAAAAGTCATGCTATTTAACGATTAGGACATATTTACTGACCTTTGAGATAATTTCAGCAAGTTGAGAAAGGTAGGCACCAAAATGCAGAAAATTAGGGAGTGAATGATGAAGTGGAAGCAGCAGGTATAAGCTAGGTTTTCAAGAAATGTAACAGTGAAAGGAAGGAGAGAGATGGAGCCAAGCTGAAGAAGGTATAGGGGAAGGTCTTTTAGTTAACAGTAGATCTGAGTAACTTTGTAAGCAGAGGAAGTGGAGCTAGTCATGAGGAGGAGGTGTAACCTGTAACCCTCATTGATTCCACCTAACCCAAGCTCAATTTTCTTGGCGAATTAAAGTGGAAAATAGAAACACAGCCCAGATAATTCAAACCAAAACCAAACAACTACAAGTACACATAAAGAACAAAAAGAAATAAAGCCTGAACTCCAGCACATAGAAGGATTGGCTAATAACAAAATTTATGTCATCTAGGGTATTCTGCTGAACTGCTGAAACGAATTCTCTTCTGCTCTGGGCATTGCTAGCAGAGCTGTGATCTCTGTAACAGTATCCATGTGTGATATGTGTTGAGTAGATTGTTAAATTGCTTGGTGCTAGCTAGGCTTTTTTGTAGCTTTTTTTTTTTTTTCCTAAGAAAGTTAGATTTTTTCTGAAGACATATGGTTATTTTACTACTGTACACATAATTCTTCGCTGATCAGGGCTAAAATTTCCTAGGTCTGCAGGAGCTTTCTTTGTTAAGAACTGACATTTACCCTTGTATTCTACCCTCTAATGATATTAAAAGCTAAACAGAATTCTATCTGGGGCTGTTCTTTCAAAGAGAAACAGAGGCGGCCTAAAATCTTGCCAAGATATCTTGCCCTTCCCACTTTCCCAATGATTCTTTTTCCCGCAAATTGGGCTATGTTCTTTGATTTGGGGGATGTTTCTTCAAAACAAGCCACTCCACAGCAACAAACTTGCTCCTGGGGAGAGGCTCAGCCACCACGGATTTACCCAACAAACTGGTGATGGAGAGATTGTGTCCAGCTGTAAGGTCAATCATGTTTGTAAAGCAATGGGAGTTCCCCAGAGGGTGGTTACTAAACAAACAGTGTCATAAAGAATATTGAAGCTCCAGGAGGGACCTTTCTGTTCCTTCCAACATTCCATTGAAAACCGAATATAGGGGTTAGGTTTTTCATCTATCCAAGAATCTCCCTTGGACCTGGGGGCTCCCAGCATGGTGTAGAGGCCAACCTGGCCAGCTGGGTATGTTTGCGTGTAACTGGCCAAGCTTTTTATCAGCTGAGACCCACAGGAAGGCTCAAGGGTCACTCAGGGGGCTTGGTAAGCCCTTGTCTTGGCACTCGGTCAGCCTTCTTTTCGTGCCTCTGATCTGCTTATTGGCAGCAAAGGGGACTAAGCTCAGATTTGGTTGTTTCAGTCTCATCTTTCTCACCTCCTGACCCTCTGCCTTTGGCCCCACCATAGCTTTTACACAGTGCCAAGAGTTCACAGAGTGGTTTTGGTTGCATCTTGTGAATTAGGCTCTTCTTTCCTGTTTTGGCAGAGTTTGTTTTTCTCCTGTCTGAACAATGGTGTCTGGAGAAATCTGTGAGCTACCAGGCTGTAGAAATCCTAGAAAGGTAAAGCTCTGAGCATACGGCCTTTGTGAGTGGTACCTCTCAGAATGGCTAATGTATCCAAATCTTTAGGAAAGTACTAGCTGCCCCTTAAAGGGAGGCCTAGTTTTGCATTCTCCTTTTTTACTTGCAAATTAAATTTCTTAGCCAGTAACTGATATCAGAAAGTATAAGCTATAGCAGAGTTTAAAGCACAAACTCCCTTTCCTTTGTGTGAGTGTGGACTGTTTACTCTTCCCTTCTCTTCCTTATAGGTTTATGGTCAAGCAGGCAGAGAACATGTGCCGACAAGCGACACTCCAGCTGAGAGATAATGAAAAGATAGCGCCTCAGAATTGGAGGGCTCTGAAAGAGCAGCTTTTCAACAAGTTTATCCTGCGCCTTGTGTCATGTGTTCAGCTAGCCAGCAAACTTTCTTTCCACTACAAAGTAAGGAGCTGGGGTTGCTCATGGGCACCTAGGTGTTGGGAAGAAACCAGCCCATCCAAAGGTGGCTGTGAGAGATCTACTCCTAGGCTAGGGTAGGTGATTTTATTCACGTGGAAATTCCAGCGTGCAATTATGCTTCCTAAGCATGCCTCCTAAACACACACACACACACACACACACACAGTCACAGTCACACAGAGAAACTTATTAAACAGCCTGAAGTTCTGTTCCCAAAGTATAATTGTTGGACAGTTGCCATCATTCATACAGGTCACCTTTCCTCCCCTTGGACTCAAGGACAGTTTACATAAGGTACCTGAACTGCCAACATACCTATCAGCATTAAAGCCAAACTATTACATTTATAAAGGATACTGTCTCCACACTACTACTCAATGCTGCAGAGTAAAATATCATTCATTCAACAGGTATTTGTCTTCTATGGTCAGATGAGTCGGAATCGACTCAATGGCAATGGGTTTGATTTTTTTTTTTTTTTTGGTTTATGGTCAGATGGTGCATTAGATGCCATGGCTACAAACAGTAAAAATACTGTCTGTGCTCTCAATGAATTAATTATCTAATGGGAGAAGATACAGAGAGAAAGAGTGTAAATACAGAGGGCTATGCACGTACCTCATCAACCTTGGAGAATCAAGCAAGGGTTATTAGAGAAAATGACTTCTTGAAGCAGGGGATGGGTGGATCCTAAGGGAAGAGGGAGAGGAATTAGGGGAAAACAGAGGAGTGGGAGGAAAGGATGGAAAATCCAGGTATAGGACATAACACATGCAGAGGTTGGGAGACGGAGAGCATGGTGGGTTTGGGGAACTGCAAATTATTCTGTATGATGAGCAGAGTGTAAGCGGGAATTACCAAAAGACCGGAGATGAAGGCATGGGCTGGATTATGAAGGGCTGTGTATACTATGCCAAGATGTATGACCTTTTTTGTTTTTCTTTGCTCAGATAATCGGCAATGCTACAGTCCTGAATTTCCTCCAGGCTCTAGGGTACCAATACACAAAAGAAGAACTGCTGGAGTCAGAGCTTGATGTTTTGAAGTCCTTGAACTTCCAAATCAATCTGCCTACTCCACTGGCATATGTGGAGATGCTCCTAGAGGTTTTAGGTGCTCTATTGTGTCAGGGGATATGGGTTGGAATCTTCCAGAGATGGCAATAAAAAATGTGCCCAGGGGCTTGGTGGCAGTGGGCAGAACCTGCCAACGAGGAATAGCAGGAAGTCCGATGGTATCTCTGGATGGCTGAGGAAGGTGTTCACTGGCACTTGTCAGGGAAAGAGGCTGAGATTTCAGCAGCTGGCTTCTACCTGGAATCACGAGAAACTCCCTTATTGCAGGATCAAAGAGTTGATTTTGTAGAGGCACAGGATAAGAGGGGAACAAACAAATATAATTTAATTCTACATATACTTAGATGGAGGTTTCTCTACCCTATAGGGTCACTATGAGTTGGAATCAACTTGATAGCACACAACATAGTAGAACACAGCAACCAGGAAGTACATGAACAGCTTAACAGCTGTATGTCACATGACAACGGTGGTTATGATCAGAGAAGACCCACTTAATGCTCTTTACCATGTCCATACTCCATCTAGGATACAATGGCTGTTTGGTCCCAGCCACACAGCTGCATGCAACCTGCCTGACCCTGCTTGACCTGGTCTATCTTCTGCATGAACCCATATATGAGAGCCTGCTGAGGGCTTCAATTGAGAACTCCACACCCAGTCAGCTGCAAGGGTAAGGCAATTCCTTCCTATAAGGTAGGCTTCGTCCAGAAACAGGAAGTGGTGGACAAGAACTTGGGGAATGGAGTTAACCTTGAAAACCACCCAGTCCACAGATACCCTGCACAGGTTACCTGGTTCATTAATTTCCAGTGTGGTACTTGGATGTAGATGACTAAGCCCAATCAGCAAAACCCTAAAGGCTTTTACTTTTAAATTTAAATTACTTCAAGTAATTAACATCTGTTCTTTCCTAGTTCTTCCTTTATAGCTGCTTATGACTTACCATTACTGGACTGCTTTTATAGCCACTTAGGAAAAAAAAAGCCAGTCACAGGGTTGCAACTTGGACAAAAGTGTTTGATTACTGTAAAGTCAGACTGGTAAAAAGTCTCACAATTATATTTGTTAGGGGGACAGATGGAACAACAAAAGGCCTGTAAACCATGCAGATATGAGGCTCATGTTTTAATCCCAGTTGAGTTGGAGGAGGATGGGGGAGGGGGTTAGTTAGCCATTACTTGAGCATTTCCTTCCATGTCTAAAAAATCCAACATGACCAGCATTAACAATTCATAGTTGAAGTTCCATGACCCTGGAATTTGGAAGATCAAATCTCATTCTAGCTCCAAAATTAATATGTTTTTAATCACTCAGGGAAAAGTTTACTTCCGTGAAGGAAGACTTCATGCTCTTGGCAGTAGGAATCATTGCAGCAAGTGCCTTCATCCAAAACCATGAGTGTTGGAGACAGGTATGCACCACTGAGCAAGACCAGCATGGTCAGAATTCATTTAATAGGCAGTATTTCCCCAACAGTTAAAACAGAAGACAACCTACAAAAGAGAAGTGCCAAGAACCTGATGAATGAGAAGGATTTGGGAAGGGGAAAAAACTAAGGTAGAACTGAAAAGTTTTCTCCAATTTTCCTCTTTTGAAGTGAAACTGGAAATGGGGGTCCAAGTTCAGTTTGTTCATTTCCCTTTATGATGACGACCCACTGTTATGTTACAGTCTAATAAGTGTATCCTCCCAAAGAGAGAAAATGTCAAGACCCAGGTACCCCTCTCATATCTCACAAAACTTATCACAGCAGAGGGAAATGTCTAGCAGAATGTTTCCATGCTAACGCTATCAGGACAAAAGTATCCTAATGTAATTTAGCCATTGGCAAACACTGGAATCTGGATTTAATCTTCCCCTAAAGTTCAAAGAAACTAAAAAATTTACATTTGGATTCAGACAGCATCCAAAGTGTGTGTACATGTGTGTGTGTGTATGTGTGCGGGTGCGCACTAAAGCATGTTGAGATTATTTAATAAAAAATCTGTCCCTATTTGTGAAGGTTGTGGGGCATCTGCAGAGCATCACTGGCATTGCCCTGGGGAGCATTGCGGAGTTCTCTTATGCAATCCTGACTCACAGCGT